AGATAGGTCTGAAATCCCTTTCCAGAGTTAAGTTAGAAGGTTATTCAGAGTTACAAGTCTAAAAAAATCTTAATTACACAGAGGATCTGCGTTGAACATGCAGAGCCTCTGTACAGCTCTGCATTGAGCATGGAACAAGGCTCAGTTACGCTGCGTAGTAGATGCAGATACTCTGCATAGTTCTGTATGAAGCACGAAATCATGCGTAGAGGCTCGGAGTAGAACGTACAGAGACACACCTTTACTCAAGAGCTAAGTGTATTATATACAAAGGTCGTCCTGTATCTCGATGATCGTAAATACTTCTAAATAAATAGTTATTTGACAAACACAAGGTTCAAGTCCTTTTCCAAAGTGAGGTCATAATATTACTCTGAGTCACAAGCGTGAATGATCCTTCTGTACACAGAGGCTCTGCCTTCTACATGCAGGCCCTCTGTGTACCTTTTACATTGAGTAAAGAATCAGGGTAAGAAGGTATGCATAGTACATGTAGATCCTTTGTGTAGCTCTGCATTAAGCACGAAACTAGGCTCAGAGGGTATGTGTAGTACATGCAGACCATGTGTGTAGCTCTGTATGAGTTAAGGAATCAATCTCAGAGGCTCTGCGTAGTACAGGCAGAGCCTTTATGTAGTTCTGTATGAAGCACGACATCAGGCACACAGAGTCTACGTAGTACATGTAGAGACGGAGCTCTTACATAAGAGTTAAGTGTATCATATACAAAGGCCGTCCTGTATTTCGATGATCATAAACGCATCTAAATAAATACTTATTTCATGAAGATAGGTCTGAAATCCTTTTCCAGAGTTGAGTTAGAAGGTTATTCAGAGTCACAAGTCTGTAGAAATTATACTTACACAGAGGCTCTGCGTTGTACATGCAGAGCCTATGTGTAGCTCTGCATTGAGCACGAAACCAGGCTCAGGTGCGCTACGTAGTACATCCAGATACTCTGTGTAGTTCTGTATGAAGTACGGAGTCAGGAACAGAGGTTCTGCATAGGATGTGCACAGAAAGAACTCTTGCTCAAGAGCTAAGTGTATTATATACAAAGGCCGTCCTGTATTTCAATTATCGTAAAGACTTCTAAATAAATACTTATTTGACAAACACAAGTTTGAAGTCCTTTTGAAATTAAAAATCCACACTTAAATACTAAACCTGCCAAATAGACTTCAGATTACTTTTCACACTTACAACTAGCAATTCATAACTTCGATGTCTTAATTTATTTTATTAACCTAATTCATATTTAGATTTAGATGTACATTTAAAATTGAATATTCAAAATTCAAAATATCAATCATTATCGGGTGTAATCCCCATAAAATCGGAAATCTGTTTCAAAGTTGTTTTCATATCCCGATTTTCCATCATTGAACGTGGTTTTAGATGGTGGTTCAATTTTGAAACTTATCATTAATCAGATCGCGATGCTTACGTGTCCTAAGGTATCATAATAGGATAAAGTAGCAAATTTGAAAATTTTCATTAATTGATAAACTCAAAACTTCAGTCATTATTGGTTGTAATGCCTTTAAAATAAGATATTTGGTTCAAAGTAGTTTTCATACCCCAAATTTGCATCATGGGACGTGGTTTTAAAAACCCAGTCAATTTTCCAAGTTCACATTCCTCAAATGAGAGTTGTATAAAAAAGTTAAAGAGGTATGATTAGAAGTCTTATCTTTTTTCATAAAGTTTTTTTTGGATTCCAAATGTCGGTTAATGTAAAGGGTGTTTTTTTTTTTTTCAGAGTGGTGATTTAGATATGTTTTCGGATGACTTGGATGTTTTGCTCAATCAAAAATTTGCAATAAAGATTGACATAACTGATTACCATCTTAAAAACAACTGTTTGATTTATGGTATTTCAAAGCTAACGTATGATGATGCCATCTTGAATGAATTGGAGATGAGATATGCTTCTCAATAGGTGTTGATTATCATTTGCAAAAAATATCATCCAATTTAGTCTAATTTTTTTGTTAGTCTAACATTATTTTACGATTTACTCTGCAGCCTGTTGAATCGGAATTAGTAAATCTGCATTCAACAAATTTCAGTTCTCAAGAGAAGTTAAAGGTATTATTAATGCCACCTTCAATGTAGTTTGTAAATTTAAATAGGAGCAACTAATTCTTCAAATGTCGTAACTGACAATTGTCTTATTTGAAGGATGCTGTATCATTTACTGGTGAGAATGCAACACCTTCCGATGTGGATAAGAGCACTGCAGACAGTCCGGAATCACAAGAGAAGTTGTATGACAGAAGGTTTCCGAAAGGAATTGACAGGAAGCGTGGTTTTGAAGGTTGGTCTGATGCTGGTCAGGAAAGAAAAGGATCGGCTACAAAAACATTAAAAATCCCTAAAGGTGAAAAGTTATATATTTTCTTTTGCTGAACAATTACATTCAAACTCGTATCTCATATTGTGTTTGTGGATGAATTTTTGTTTGGACAATGATTTTTCAATTGGTGATTATATTATGGTACATGTTTTCATTATTATTTGTCTTGGATCTGATATTAAACTTATTTGTGTTACATAATTTTGTTGTACTTGATTTTCATGTTTAAGAACATTATCTGTGGTTGTAAATATTTAACTTTTTTGGACGAAGAGGCTTTGTGCAGATGAATAAAAGGTTGTGAATGATTAGATGGCCTTTACTCTGTATCCTTCTAGGCCTTCATTGATTTATCACACGACCTCTGCATACTGCATGCAGATATTCTGCTTTGCTATACAGAGTTCTGAAGTATGAAGAGTTTCTTTAGCGTAATTTCAAGACTAGAAGCCTTGTATTAAACTTAGTTGCATTTGCAAGTTAGGTCTAAGACTTGGAAGATAAGTCCCGAATTTGATATTTCTTATGTGGTTGAATTTTGATTTGAACATTTATTTTTCAGTTGATGATTACATTATGCTATATATTTTAATTATTATTTGTTTTGCATTTAGTATTAAAGTGTTTTTCGTAACTACATAATTATGTTGTTATAGCAATCACAAGCTTTAATGATAACATTCTTCTTAGAAGTATGCATTGAGAAGGGAATATTCTGAATCCTTCTTCGCCTTGATTAATTTATCCTTCGGCTTCTACATGCTGCATGCAGAGGTTCTGCATGTTGCATGCAGAGTGTCTGCATGCCGCATGCAGAGCTTCTGCATGTTGCATGCAGAGTGTTTGCATGCCGCATGCTGAGCTTCTGCATGTTGCATGCAGAGTCTCTGCATGCCGCATGCGGAGCTTCTACATGCTGCATGTGGAGCTTCTGAATTCTCTAGACATATCTCTCAAGTGTAAAAAGTTTTATTCTAGAGTAAGTTCAAAAGTACAGCTCTTGTATCAAACCTATGAACACTTGCGTAATGAACAGTTTCTTCAGACTTTAAGCAGACTTGTAATCGTATAATGCAACTCATAACTACAACGTTAATGGAATAATAATCATGATACTTTACTTCACTTACGAAAACAATTCTCATACTTTTTTTCCAAATTTATGACATTGCTGTGATGTTGATTTGCAGAGTTTTTCATGTCCTTACCTCTGTTAATATACAACTGTGATTTTTTACATTCCAAATGTTTTCTCAAATTCATTTCACATAGTTACTACAAAACTATAAAAAATAAACCTTCCACGAATTGTCTCTCATTCATCATGCTTAGCAGATTGTTGAAATGTTTCTTTCAAAGAAAACCCACGGCTTTAAATTTTGCAGAGTTATATTGTGTAGTTATTTGTCAGCCTTAAAATAAAACTTCAATAATTTTTCTCCAGCTTAAAACTCTGTCATGACATTGGTTTTCATAATTTGCAGGGTTTGTAAATATGTTAATGCACAAAGTTGAAATATGCAACATGGTTTTCCAAGTACTTATTATTTCTGGTCTTCTACATTTAATAGTTAACAGTTTAAATTCCACACTTGAACATGAAACTGCATCCTTTGCATAACATGGTAACGACATAGGTTATTTTAAGTGATAATTTTATAAATTAATTTAAATATATCATTTATATTACCTTTAGGTTTTCCTCATAAGTAAAGTATGCTATCTGAACATGTAGAGAATACAAGTAGTAATTGCAAATCTAAACAAGATTCAGCAAAACACTGTTTGTGCGGAAAAGGCTATGAAGAATCGAATGATGAAAGGTTTTGAATGTTGCATCTGAGGATGGAATTTGAATGGACATAGTATAACACTTTTAAATCTTTATGCATAAAAACAAGGTCATATGTTAAATGTGTTCCAAAATAATATGAATATATTGAAAGTACTATTAACAAATTATATAGCCCTTTCCATCGATTTCTAAAAACCTATCAAATCAAACCTATTCAAAAGTACACTAAAAAGGAAAGTTGCACAGAGTTATAAAAATGAAGAACATATAAACATTAAACATTGTATATACTCATAGTAACTGCTCGACTAATACCTTATTAGCCATCTGATTATTACAAAAGGGTTTGAAAGGAATGAAGCCTGGTCCGATGCACTCACCCTTCTTTTCAAAATCATAAGAAAGAGAGTGAGTGCATCGAACCAGGCAATATCCCTCACAAACCACTACTTGTTTGCTTCTCTGAAGAGATCATTGACTTCGTCTTCTTCTTCCATTAAAACCTAATATTAGTTCATCTAAGTTTAATCTGTAGATAGGCAAAAAAAAAAGGAGACTCGGGAGTAGTGTAAAAATATATTGGAAACCGTAAAGGCACGTATAATATAGATTATAAAAATAGATTTTGAAAAGTGACGGTTGAAATGACCTCCTAAAGTTTTAAATAAATCTATATACTTTTCAAATCTATTTATTGAAGAAATAAATTTTTTACTTCTCCTCACTTCTCATCCACTTTCGACTTTTGGCCTTTTCTGTTCCTTTGCTACCGCAAACCAGAGATTCATGGACGACTGCTTCAAGTTACCTCCGATCAAACAAACGGAGCACAAAAGCATTATAACGATGGAGGTTCTGACGATGACAGAGAAGTTTTTCGGCCAAGAAAAATCAACGTGTCCAAGACTTGTAAGGATATCAATGACCGATCCCTATGCAACCGATTCTTCAGCAAATGAAAATGATGATCATTTCGGACGGTGGCATGTGAATAAGTATGTCAATGAAATTAACATACAAACGTCGTGCAAAACTACAATGATGCCTGTCAACGACAACATGATGACGACCAGAAATAGGCCATATGCTCTAGAAGCGAAACAGAAGTCTATGAAGAAGAAGAGAACTGCGGCGGACAACGTTAGGAAGTTTCGAGGAATCCAGCAAAGGCCTTGGGGTAAGTGGGCAGCGGAGATTATGGATCCGGCTACACGTGAACGGTGGTGGTTGGGGACGCGTGATACGGCGGAGGAGGCTGCCAGGGCGTATGATAATGCCGCCATTAAACTCTGTGGTCATGGTGCTGTAAAAAACTTCATCATGCCGCTGGTTTTGGAAAACCCACGACCGGTGAATGTTACATCGATGTTCGACCATGATTCCAGCTTAAAGTTGCACAACCTTCCATTTGGGGAAGCACCACCTTTTGATTTCCAATCATTTGACCTGATACAATTTGGTGATGAAGTTCTATTTTATAACATGCATGATGATTTCGGGATTACAAACCCGAACCAATTCGATGATTTTGCTACAATACCATTTGTTGATGACTTCATTCCTGATATTGGATGTGGATCCTCCTCAACTTTATAAGTAGAGAACTACTTTCAAGATATTTCAGATAGTACTTTAGATTCCTGGTTTTCCTAAAATGGGTCGAACTTGTTTTAGTTAGTTGTTCGAGCCATATTTAACCTTCAAGAGATTCTGCTTTAAGGTTATGAGAAATATAATCTCCTAAAAGAGTACGGAGATTTGACTTTTTAGAAGTGGTATTACTTTTGAAAAACATTTAATTGATTAGTATTGTCTTAATTCGTTAGTATCGTCTTAATGCATACTTTTGATTAAGATTTATTGGTCTGGCTGATTATTTTTATTTTGTTTTTCAATCAATTGTATACGATGTTTTTTTTACAAAAAATATATGGGTCACAAAAACGTTTGACCCGTATATTACACGGGGTATTTTAAATGAGGAAAATGAATCGAGACTTTTCCTCAGGTCTAAAACAAAACTTTGAACATTAACTCTGAAACACAAGAAATCAGAGTCCTGGTGTTAGTCTGGAAAATAACTATGGACATAACTCTGAATGAAAGAAATTCAGAGTTGCCTTATAAGTCTTGGAAGTATCTCTGAGCATAACTCTGAAGCACAAAATTTTTGACTTCTTATAACTCAGAAAAGTAACTCCGAATAGGATTTCAGAGTTGCATTAAAAATCTGGGAATAAACTACAGAAATAAATTTGGAATAGATGAATTCAGGGTTATGTTGTAAGTCTGAGAAATAACAAATATCTAATGCCTTTCATGTTGGTTACTTGTATCACTAATGTCATTTAAGTGTAATGGGATTTATTTGTTGATCAATGTAATCATCATAAATATTGAAGACAACTTTCAATTTTAACTAGGGAGAAGGAGTTCAGACTTGATCTTAGAGTTGTATATTGGTACACTTTATAAGTCTGGCAGACAATTATGAATTTAGACAGAGGGACATAAGTTCAGATTTCTAACTCTGGTAAAGAAGTCTTCAGATTTAGTGACTACCGAGAACATTTCAAAGATTCCTACTTAGTCTGGAACATCAGTTAAACCACAAAAATAGGAAAATAAACGTGTAGAGGGACACATGTCAGTTAAATAGACATATTGGTACCGTAAGTGAAAATTGTGTACACATACATCTAAGACTCTGTGTGTAGGGTGACGCCCTGCATGAAACACTTAAATTTGTTTATCCCTTCTCAATTACTCTGACACGGAAATCTGGAACATAACTCTGAAAGACTAACCTGGGAAAAAAAACTGACAAGCAGTTTCTTAACTTATGATGCATTTACACCTGTAATTTACGGTTTCCATAACCGCCTCATCTTCGTTAGCATTTGCTTCTTATAAAACTATTGTCATCATAGACAACTTTTGTTTCCTACTACAATAAAAATTGAATGCTTAAAACAACTGGCTAAGTGAATCCATTTTCTGATGATTGTTCATTCAAATGTTTTATTACGTAATGACTTCATGCACTGGTTTCTTATTGAAGGATTAATTTTTTTTGCAGATCTTTCAAAAAATAAATTCCATGGATGCTAGAGAAAGGAGAAAATTTAGAAAGACGGTTTTGAATAGTAGTAAACAATCATTGAAGTCTACGTCATCAAATGTTGAAGGTATCTGATTCAACAACATTTTGAATTCGATTTTGAATGAGACAAATATTATCTGTTCAGAAATTCTGTTGAAGGCACTTTTTTTCATTATACTTTCCTCTTTCTTTTCACATATAATATCACAGATTATGATAGGCAATTAAGATCTTCATCTCAAAGGAATAATATTCCCTACCATAGTGAGAATATGGATCCAAACACATATCCGCAATATGAACATACAAGCATTGAACATTCTTCTTCAAATGTGACTATCACAAATCCATTATCTGATCCTTCTAATGGTGTGTATAATCTCTTATACATCTCATTTTTAAACTAATGATTCCAATACGTTTATATTCTAACACATATTTTACATTACGTAAATTCGTATATTTCAAACAACAAGTCTTCATGTAAACAGACACTATTGGTTACGTTCTAACGCCAATCCATCAATGCCTTCATCGACAACAGAGCAACCTTATTCTATGGTTTGGTTATCAACAGGGCATGATACATTACGAAGGAAGACTGTAAACGTATCTGATATACCAATAATGGACATTGCATCAGATGAATAATTGGACGATCCAGTAACAGCTACAAACATAATTGCAGGAATATCTGAAGGTAAGTATTGATTAATCAACTATTTAACACTTACAAGTAGTTATTGGTTTCAAATTTATTAAACAGAGTACTTGGATCACGGTGATCAAAGTGTTATTTGTGAATGCTATGAGGCAAAACTATGGAGAGATGAAGCTGTTAGAGGGAAAAAATGCGAGATGAAACCAAGTTACTCCCTTTGTTGTCTTTACGGCAAAGTTCAGCTTCCAAAAGAGAAAGAGATGGGTACTGCTTACGTAAATATTTTTCGTTGTGAGGACTCGAAAAGCAAATACTTCATGAAGAACATTCGTCGTTATAATTCAATGTTCTCATTTAAGTCAATGGGTGGGAGAATATATTCTTCCATTAATAGTGGAAATGCACCATACATATACAGGCTTAACGGTCAAAACTACCATAGGATGGGCAGTCTTCTACCACTAGATGGATCGAAACCAAAATTCTCTCAACTGTACATATACGAAGAATGAAGTTTCAAATAGACACAGTTCATTTAGGTATACATTCATCCTTTTTGTTATATTTCTTAATAAATTTATTTGAATTCCATAATATGGTTATATTAATGGTCACTCTGATTTTATATTTGTTATGATTTAATTAGTGAACAAAAAGAAGCCTCTGCATCAAATTCTGATTCCCTTGATATTGATATTATTCAATATATAAAGAACATACTAGATGCAAAAAATGTTTTGGTGAAGTCTTACAGAATTGCAAGAGATTGTTTTGAATGCTACTCTGATGTCAAGCTAAAGTTACTGTTAGCTCTCATTCCTTTAATGTAAAGTATAGAAAAAGTAAAACAACAAGTATTGACAGAAGCTGATCTGTTACAGAAGACCTCAGAGGATAATCATCAGAAGAAGCTCTTTTGTACAAGGTTAAAGTGACGAAACCTCTGTCTTCATCCACAGAGGTTCTGGAAACTTGTCCTCTGCCAAGACAATGTTACAAGACAAAGACGACAGAACCTCTGTCGTGTCTCACAGAGGTTCTGTAAGTTGTTCTTCTGCTACATACGCTTCAAGTCATAACCAGCAGAGCCTCTGTGATGTTTCACAGAGGGTCTGCAGCTAGTCTTCTGTGTAGATTATCTTTAGCTAGTTTTACTTAGGTCTTTTAGYTGCTCGTGTCTKYCACSTGATCTTGTCTGTAATCTGTTTTTAGATGAACGRCTTAGATTTAATTGCTTTAGGTCGTGTCAGGAAACGGTTATTTGCTTGTATAAATAGCAGTGTAGGCCTTTGTATTTTGTRTGCTTCCAGATTTGTAATCGTCGATATTTTCAATCAATTGAAAATCATTTGAAGCAATTCTCTTTGTGTTCATTACTTGTTCTTCATTGTGTTCTTACTGTTTCTAGCTGTTTGATTGATATTGTTTCCACTGCTCTACTACTGTCAAATCGATCATTCAAGTAAGTTTTTAGTACCAAGAATTGAGTTATTCGATCCAACAATTGGTATCAAAGCAGGAATCAAATTTTAATTTGATTATTTCTGTTCTTGGTATTCATCCTTTATCAACTCTAGAACACAATCTTCTTCTCCAAGTTTACTCTGTTTTTCACTGTTTTATCATTTTTCTCCTATTTTTCTTTTGATTCTTCTTCAATCAATGGCGAATACGGCCAATGCTTCCTTCATGAGTACGGGTTCACAATCTAAACCACCCACGCTCATTCGTGAGGAATTTCCTCTATGGAAAATCCGAATGGTGAGTTTTCTTGAGGGTATTCATCCTAGGATTTGC